TGGCCACCTCATGTGAAGAGTTGACTCATTGAGAAACGATCCTGATGCTGGGAGGGATTGAGGGCAGGAGGAGAAGGGGACAACAGAGGATGAGATGGCTGGATGGCATCACCAACTCGATGGACATGAGTTTGAGTAAACTCCGGGAGTTGGTGACGGACAGGGAGGCCTGGCGTGCTGCGATTCATGGGGTCTCAGAGTCGGACACAACTGAGTGACTGAACTGACTGACTGATACTGAGTTCATATAATCAAATGTCTAAGGACAAGAGGGAAAAGATCATATAAAATGGCAATACCATCTCAGAACGAGTTCACATATGTCAGAAGTAAAGAGCGAATTTAGATGGGAATAAGAGTGCAGTGCATGTGTACTCAGTCGTCTCCAGTTCTTTGCAACCCCATGGACTGTAGCCGCCCAGACTCCTCTGTTCGTGGGATTATCCTAGCAAGAACAGTGGACTGACAATTCCACTGGTCTCATTGCATTTTTTGGAATCTCTGGATAATTGTTTATGGTTCTTAGGTAACATGCAGAAGAATGGCTGTGACAGACTTGCCATTTCTCCATATCTGGAGAAAAACTGTTGTCAGGGGATATTTAATTTTAAAGAGTTCTATATGTTGTTTTTTGTTTTTCAAGGGCCCTCTGTTTTTTATTAGTTTTTGGAAAACAGGAACGAGCAGAGCTGTATGTAGTTCTCAGGACTGAGGTCATGAGATGGAACACATATGTGGATTCCTTTCAGTAACCTTTTACTTTTCTGTAAAACTACTTAGTCGTATTCCTATTTCCAATTGTCTGCTGGCCCTTTGACGATTGTTATTCCCCTAGTTACTGTTGTTATGGCCCTATGACTATTGTTATTCCCTTAGTTACTGTTGTTATGCATCTGGTTTTGGTGTTTTTGCTCAACTTTAATTTTTGCCTAAAGCTTCCTTGTATATATGTGTGTATAGGCACACACTGCCATGAATAAAGCACCCTTGTTTCACTCGGGACTTGGGTCCCCTGCATCCTTCTTTTTGTCGCTTTCTCTCCGTTGACTCCAGTCCCCAGGTCCTGTTGTGTAAAGGCCATAACGAGTGGTGCCTGAACAGGGACCTGGAATGTGCCCTTTGCAAGTGGATGGAGTGACTGTGGACCTTGAGTTCGGTAAGTGCAGGGTTATGGGACAAATGGCTGGAGAGCCCCACCACTTTTCTACTTTGCTCCATCATTTATTTAAAGTTCAAAGACTTTTGGTTTCGTGTCAGTGAATAAGGGCTTGTCTCCAAACAGTGGTTAAACATAATCCCTGGTTCCCCAATGAAGGCAGTTTCAATTTAGAAATTTGGAACCGGCTTAAAGAAAATGTTGAATGAACCACTAGACAGGGAAAAAATATTTCAATAGATTTCTGGCCCTTATGGGCCCTCATTAAAGCCTTGATTTTACCGTTTCAAGGAAATGCTAGCCCCCTGATATTCAACAACAGGCAGAACACTTGTTACATGAATATGAATTAGATGATGAAACTTTACAAAAGGCCCAACTAGAACAACATGAAATATTTCCGAATTCTCCCACCAGCCCTGCTGCTGCTGCTCCTCTTACAATCGGCGCCAAGCCGAAAGTTCCTGCAATTCATGGACAAGATGACTCTGACAATGACTCTTCTGAGGCTCTTTTTGACACTAAAGTTGACCATACTTCTTTTGATGGCAATGATAAGCCTTTAACACACACTCATGTTGGTAAGAAAAACTTTTTATTCATTCTCCTTCACGACGAAAGCTTTATGGGTTACTAGACTGGAACATGGAAAATGAGTCCTTTCTAGCATTCACCACGTCACACCTGCCCTTGGCCGAACAAAACCTTGCCAAATATAAACTCCGAATAGTTGAGCCACCCAACTCTGATAAAGATGGGCCAGATTTTGAGCCCAACCTATGGATGTGGATAAACCCCAACGTCATGTTTCCTTCTGAAAAGCTAAAAGTCAATAAAACGTGAAGACAACTACACAAAAATATTTCAAGGACCTAATGAAGCCTTTGCTGATTTTTTAGCTAGATTGGATGTTGCTATTTNCTGCTCACTTAACAAACAATACAATTATGAAAATAACTTAGAAAAATGACAAACTTGTTTGGACACAGCAATGGCCCCTTACAAAAGAGAAACTAGAAGCTACTAAAAAACTTATCAATACACAATTAAAATTAAAACATATTGAAGAATCTTATTCCCCTTGGAATTCTCCCACTTTTGTAGTAAAAAGAAAAATCTAACAAATGACATTTCTTAACAGACCTTAAAAAAGTTAATACATCTATAAAACTTATGGGTACATTACAACCAAAAATTCCATCACCTACCCCTACTCCTCTAAACTGACATATTATTATTATAAATTTACAAAATTGCTTTTTTTTTTTTTTTTTACTATACCTTTATACCCTCTAGACTGAGAAAGATTTGCTTTCTCTCTCCCTTTTCCTAATCATATCGGGCCTCATAAACGGTATCAATGGACTGTATTGCCTCAAGAAATGATGAATTCTCCCACCATGTGTCAATATTATGTAGCCAAAGCCCTTAAACCTGTGAAAAAACAAACTCTTGACTTTCTTATTATTCATTATATGGATGATATATTGTTTTCAGCTCCATCTGTTTTAAAAACTCAACATATGTTTGACATAGCTCAACTATGCTTAAAAGACTCTAGATTAATTATTGGCCCTGAAAAAATTCAAACCTCTACACCTTACCATTACTTAGGATCTATTGTTAATAGACAACATATTACTCCCCAACTAACACAAATTCATGTTGATAAATTATCAACCTTAAATGATTTTCAAAAACTTTTAGATGATATAAACTGGATTAGACCCTCTTTAGACATTACAAATTATCAACTTACTAATTTATTTAATACTTTGAAAAGAGATCCTGATTTAAATAGCCCTCATTCACGTTTACAAGAGACACGAGAAAAACTCTATTTGGTACAAAATAATTTACAAAAACAATTTCTTACTCGTATTAAACTTAAATTACTTGTAGAGTTGTTTATACTCCCCTCTTTCCATTCTACCACTGGACTTCTTGCCCAACAAAAACACCCAATAAAATGGGTCTATATCCATTTTAGAAGGACAAAGTCACTTATGTCCTATCTTGATTTGATTGCTCTAATAATTATCAATGAGAGAAATAAAACTAAGACTTTAATTGACTCCGATTCTCATAAAATTGTTACCTATTAATAAAGTTCAATTTGATAATACATTACAAACTTCTACTGATTTCCAAATAGCCTTCTTAGACTATTTTCATTTCATTATCCCTCTAATAAACTTTGGAGTTTCTTCAAAAATACTAAATTTATTATCTCTCACATTGTTACATCACAACCTGTACCTCAAGCTGGTGTTTTCTATACAGATGGGACTAAAAACACCAAAGCCTCATTTTGGTCTCTCAAAAAATATAAAATCGTTTATACTAAATCTCACTCTGCTCAACAAAATGAATTATCTGCTCTTATTCAGGTTATTCACCTACATCCTCACTCTATTAATATAGTTTATGACTCCTCAATTCAGTTTTTGTATTAGAAAATATAGAAACTTCTACCATAAATTCTAATCAATTTATTATTCAACAACTTTTTCTTGAATTATAGTCTATTATTAGGGATCACACTTCCCCCATTTATATTACCCATATTTGAACACATTTCAGCCTTCCCAATCCTATGACTCATGGTAATGAACAAGTTGATAAACTTATTTCTTTTGCTGCTCCTGAGAAACAACATGCTCTGTTACACAATAATGCTGGCTCGTTACACCAGATTTAAAAATTCCATACCGCCGTGATAAAAAAAATCATTAATAATTGCTCTACTTGTAGACTTCTACATCTTTGACCCATTACACAAGGTATCAATCCTCAAAGATTACAACCCAATAAATTATAACAAATAGATGTGACTCATTGCCCTGAAGTCTCTTTATCTTCTTTTTTACATGTCTGTATTGATACAAATTCTTTTATATGGGCCATACCTCTTCAAGGTGAAACTATGCAACATATTATAACCCACCTGTTAGCTTACTTTCCAATAATGGAAACTCCTAGTTCCATAAAAACAGACAATGGCCCTGCCTATATTTCTAGGCCATTCAAACAATTTTTACAGTCTTTTTCTATCAAAAATATTACAGACATTCCTTATAATCCACAAGCACAAGACATAGTTTAACGAAAACATCACACAGTAAAACTACAAATAAAAAAAAAATTAAAAAGGGGGAATACACAGGAACAATTCTATCTTCCTTATCCAGAACAGACTTTACTAGATTCCAATGCAAGATATTCTTTAATCCTATAACTACTGTTAATAAAGCTTTATTTGTTTTAAAGTTTTTAAACTTACCACAAGGAGATATCTTAAAGAGAGTAGAAAAACATTTCAAGGAATTGAAGGACACTTCTCTTCCTCTGCCCATTTGGTATCAAGACGGGCTAACTAAACAATGGAAATCTAAGAAATTAATCTCGGAAGGAAAAGGGGTATGCTTGTATATCTCCAGATGGATCCAATGAACTCACCTGGCTTCTTCTTTGGAAGATCCACCCCAAGGAAGTCTCTGGCATTTAAAATAAAGGTGAAACCAAAAAACCGCTAGGAGGAAGAAATTCCAATACAGGTCATGGTGGCTCTGAAAATCTCCAAGAAGTACCACCCTCGGCGTCATCGACCTCATGATCTCCCTACTTGGGGGCAGATAAAAACCCTTACTAATCAAGCTGAAAATCTGATTTCTCAACAGGGAATGCCTTGGAATCCAGAAAATATTTTTGTTAATATGCTTGTTTTTGCTTCCCTCACTCAAACTGAATTAATTAACCATAGTTATTGGGCCTATATACCTAACCCCCTTTTACTGCAGGTGTTTTGGACAATGGACTGGTGAAACCCATCCTTATTATAAAAATGTCTCAGAACAACTGGGAGCTTGTGGTTGACTTTCTCTCTTACAAGCTTTCCCAGAAAGGATACAGCTGGAATCAGTTTAGTGATGTGGAAGAGAACAGAACTGAGGCCCCAGAAGGGACAGAATCAGATGTGGAAATCCGCAGCGCCATCAATGGCAACCCATCCTGGCACCTGGCAGATAACCCTGTGGTGAATGGAGCCACTGGCCACAGCAGAAGCTTGGATGCTTGGAAAGTGATCCCCATGGTAGCAGTGAAGCAAACCCTGAGGGAGGCAAACGATGAGTTTGAACTGAGGTACCGACGGATATTCAGCGACCTGATGTCCCAGCTCCACATCACCCCAGGGATAGCATATCGGAGCTTTGAACAGGTAGTGATGAACGGGGGTCGCATGTGGCCTTTTTATCCTTCAGTGGGACACTGTGTGTGGAAAGTGTAGACAAGGAGATGCAGGTATTGGTGAGTCGAATCAAAACTTGGATGGCCACTTACCTGAATGACCACCTAGAGCCTTGAATCCAGGAGAATGGCGGCTGGGACACTTTTGTGGAACTCTACAGAAACAATGCAACAGCTGAGAGCTGGAAGGGCCAGGAGCACTTCAACCGCTGGTTTCTGATGGGCATAACTGTGGCTGGTATGGTTCTGCTAGGCTTGCTCTTTAACTCATAGTAACTATTCCTTTCATTATAATCATTCATGTTTCATATAAGCTTGTGTTCCTCTTCCTTTTGTTATAGCTATAGAGAACTTACAATTNCGAATTTAGATGGGAATAAGAGTGCAGTGCATGTGTACTCAGTCGTCTCCAGTTCTTTGCAACCCCATGGACTGTAGCCGCCCAGACTCCTCTGTTCGTGGGATTATCCTAGCAAGAACAGTGGACTGACAATTCCACTGGTCTCATTGCATTTTTTGGAATCTCTGGATAATTGTTTATGGTTCTTAGGTAACATGCAGAAGAATGGCTGTGACAGACTTGCCATTTCTCCATATCTGGAGAAAAACTGTTGTCAGGGGATATTTAATTTTAAAGAGTTCTATATGTTGTTTTTTGTTTTTCAAGGGCCCTCTGTTTTTTATTAGTTTTTGGAAAACAGGAACGAGCAGAGCTGTATGTAATTCTCAGGACTGAGGTCATGAGATGGAACACATATGTGGATTCCTTTCAGTAACCTTTTACTTTTCTGTAAAACTACTTACTCATATTCCTATTTCCAATACATGGATTGTCTTCTGGCCCTTTGAGGATTGTTATTCCCCTAGTTACTGTTGTTATGCGTCTGGTTTTGGTGTTTTTGCTCAACTTTATTTTTTTTGCCTAAAGCTTCCTTGTATAACACTATATAAACACACACTGCCATAAATAAAACACCCTTGTTTCACTCGAGACTTGGGTCCCCCACATCCTCCTTTTCATCGCTTTCTCTTCGTCAACTCCAGTACCCAGGTCCTGGTCTGTAAAGACCATAACAAACTGTCAAGACAATAAAAGCTTAAAACTAATATGAAGAATGTAGTGTACTATTTTAGCTCTCAAATTATGTAGTTATTTAATATTAGAATATTGTTTTTTTTGTGATGGAGAGTTTTCCTCAAGAAGAAAGTATTATTTTGTTAGATTATAGGTGCTGGCTTTCAGTTTGAGAATTCACTGTATTTCTATAACTTATGACTTTAGAAGAATAGGAAAATGATGAAGAAAGTGTGAATATTGCTAATATTTCACTTTATAAAGTATTTTCTTGTTTTCTATTTGGCTCAAGTACTGATTTATTATATAATCATACATATTCATGCATTGATACTATAACAATAAGTTTAAAGGTTTAAAGTTACTATTTAATAAATTTTGTTAAGGTCAAAGAGAATACACATATTTTTATGACTTGAAGTCTCCCTGTCTCCCCAGAAAATGATGGGACATGCTAGATTGAAAAATAAGCTGTAATCCTTGCTTCTTCTTCTTGTTCAGTTGCTCGGTTGTGTCCAACTCTTTGCAACCCTATAGACTGCAGCATGTCAGGCTTATCCTTGCTTCTTAAAACACCTCAAGTGAAAGAGAAGCAGCATTGAGATTGCTCTATTACTCTTTAAGGAATAGATGAGATAATACCCAAAGAGCACATCCTGTAATAATGGATCAGTGTGGCTATCTCTTGATATTTTCAAAAGTGATTATATAGTAACTTTCTATATAGTAACTATCTATAACCAGTAAAAGTATACAAGGAGTGATAGTAGAACAATCTGTCTGTGAATATTTAATGATAAACATATTCCATTATAGATTAAGGATCTTATTCTTCTGAAGATAAAATTACAAACATTAAAGCATCTTTTCTTTCTGTGATTTGTTTAACTATCAGGATGTTATCAGAAGCAAAGTACGTGTATTTCCTTGAGTTTTTAAATTTCACTTATGTACAAATCAAGCCAAGCTTAGAAAGTTAAACATGAGAATTATGCAATAAAATTATTTAAAATCCTGAGTTCAAAAGATTTGAGCATGCTTCAGGACACAGTGCATGACCTTCATTCCAAGACACAAATGAAATATATTTCATTTTATGGTCTATTTTACCTTGGAGATATTTTAAAAAAAAGATTATAGGGACCATGAGTATATATGGCAAGAAAATGAATATATAAATTAATGAGTAAGTAATTTAGAAAGGCATATAATTCTGGATCATTAAAGTGAAACTTTAACATTGATTAAATCAAAATTTTTGCCCTGTCTTGTATCTGTAACTATACTGTTTTAATACAACTGGTCAAAAACACACATTTCTTTTCTCATTTAAAATTCAGGGCTACTAAATCTCAAGTCCACTTTCATTGCTGCTTAGAAATCCTACTTTAGTTTATTTGCTCTACTATTTTCCTTGATAATTTATATTTATCATCTTTTAAACCTCTAATATTTCTTCTCCCATAATCATATACACAAAGCTTTTGTGATTTTATCTGAGATTTTTCTAGTAGTCATGTATGGATGTAAGAGTTGGACTATAAAGAAAGCTGAGCACCAAAGAATTGATGCTTTTGAACTGTGGTGTTGTAGAAGACTCTTGAGAGTTCCTTGGACTGCAAGGAGATCAATCCGGTCCATCCTAAAGGAAATCAGTCCTGAGTGTTCATTGGAAGGACTGATGTTGAAGCTGAAACTCCAATACTTCGGCAACCTGATGTGAAGAGGTGACTCATTGGAAAAGACCTTGATGCTGGGAAAGATTGAAGACAGGAGAAGGGGATGACAGAAGATGAGATGGTTGGATGGCATCACCAACATTGATCATCATATCATCAATGGACATGAGTTTGAGTAAACTCCAGGAGCTGGCAATGGACAGGGAGGCCTGGCATGTTGCAGTCCATGGGTTGCAAAGAGTTGGACATGATTGAGCAACTGAACTGAACTGAAACCCTCCAGTTCTACAAATACTACATTCATCCTCTTGCCTTTGCCAGCAAGTCACTAGTTCTAGTAATTCTGTCTTCTTGTACTTTATCAAATATTACCTGTTTGTTGTATTTTTTCCTACCAGCATTAATATCCCACTAGAAACCCAAATTTTTTCTTGTTAATAAAAAAAAAATCCAACTTTTCTTTTTAGCTGTAAAGTAAGAGTACTTGAAATTACCCTTCTATCATAAACAAAAAACAGAAAAACCTATAGAAAGCAAACATTTTCAGACATTAGAAAGCAAGCAGCATGAAACTATGATTCCTAAGAAGGAGGAAGATGTTTATCTCTACATAAGCTGGACTCTCCACCTGAAGGTTGTTTCCAGAGTGTAAAGAAGAAAGACAGAACCCAAAGGGGAGATAAAACTGAATTCTGGAAGCCAACACAGGATTTTGAGAGCATTGTGCCCAATAGGAGAGGGGTGCATAGAGAAAGAATGCCAGAAAATTGCATAGGGATTTTTTTCCCTGAGATTTTGGTTAAATACAAATCTGAGAATGTATAGGATAAAACCCTGTGAGGTCAGGAAAGAGCAAATTCTATGGAAAACATCTGAAAGCTGTACAGTTTATAGGTTTACAAAGGGCTGATTCTCACCAGCCAAAGTGGACAGATCTTATTGAATATATGTGGCATTATAATAGAGAATGTAAATGGGTTGTGACTAAGAAGTGGAATTAAATTAGTACAAGAGAAGTTTTTTTTTGAGCTTTGCTAAAAGAAATTTTAAAAATAGGGCCTTAAAGATCAAACTGGCCTGCAATAACTTAACTTCCTTCTAGAGAAAAAAGATAAAAGTCATTCAGTTGTAAGAAATACACAATCTAGTATTCAACAATGTAAATGTCTACCATTCAAAGAAAAATTTCTGGGTATGTAAAGAAGCAGAAAATGTGACATAATGTGAAGAACAAACAAAAGCAGATATAAATTCAGAGATGATAATATCAAAAAAAGAACATATCAGCTATTATAAGTATGCTCTGTATGCTCAAAGATGTGAGCAAAAACATGAACATAATGAGGGAAGAATTGGAAAACATAAACAAGAACTAAACGGGACTTCCAGGGACAAAAAATACAGTATCTGAAGTAACATTTCTTTGGATAAAGTTAATAGCGAATATGACATTGGATTTAAATTAACTGATTAAATTAAATCAGTTAATTTCAATGCATGCAACAGAAATTATCCAGGATGAAAACTAGAAAGTAATATGATTGGGAAAAAACACAGAGCCTTGATAAATAATGAGAAAGTATCAAGCAGTTTCTTGGTTGAAGTCCCAAAATGAGTGAAGTGGGGAAGGAAAATTATTCTTAGAAATAATGGCTGGAAATCTTCCACATATACAAAGCTTAGTGAACTCCAAGCAGGTCAAACACAACATTGAGGCACACTGTCAAATTGCTGCAATCCAATGATAAAGGAAAAAAAAATCTTAAAAGCAGCTGGAGAAAAGAATGCATATGCAGAGAAAAAGGATAAAAATTACTACAGATTTCTTTTTAGAAATTATGCAGGCCATTGGAAAATGGAATGATATTTTAAAGTGCTAAAGGAAAAAAAAAAATCAAAGTTAGATGTTGCAATACATGTTAATAGGATGACAGGAGGTGGTGGCTCTATAAATAAATAGCCTAAAAAGCCAAAGAGTAAGTTCTTGCTTCTTACTCTCCATTTCTTTTCAAAGCTGAAAGCCAGGTTGAGATGGAGGATGGCTGGAATACAAGTAAGCCAGAAAGTGGCCTAGATTTGGGTTCGTCAGCCCAAAGTTGCCCATCATTTTGTTAAATAACTGTCAATGTTTTCTAATTTTTAGTTTTTAGAACAAAAATGAATAATATTAAAAAAAACAGAATATAAGCTTCTTGGGGGTGGGTCTATTTATTCTCCACTTATTCACATCACTAAGAAGGATGGAATGTTGAAACAAAAATATTTGTTTTGAATGAATGAATAAAAGTACTATAGTTCTACCAAAAATGTGTTTGTTACTATATTTTCTTAAAGAAGATAAACTTATTTCAAATGAAAGTAGTTTCTTTTAACAACCACTCTTGGTTTTATTTTATTTTTTTTCCATTTATTTTTATTAGTTGGAGGCTAATTACTTTACATCATTACAGTAGTTTTTTTCATACATTGAAATGAATTAGCCATGGATTTACATGTATTCCCCATCCCAGTCCCCCCTC